GAAGGAGAGTCCTCAACTCTTGGGTGCCTTTCATCCTCTCTCCAGGTTCATAGGGTTTCCGGAGGCAAGCTATTACGGAAGTGGATGCCACTCCTCCTTCCAAGATGATCCAAGTATATGTTTCATATAAGCACAATCAAGTGTTCTGGGATTCCCATTCTTCTTAGAATCAGGCACAGTTTGTTGTGGTCCACACAAACAAATGCCTTTGCATAGTCAATGAAACACAGATTGACATTTCTCTAGTATTACCTACTGTCAGCCAAGATCCATCTAACATTAGCTACAATATTCCTAGTACCATAGCCTTTTCTAAACCCAGCCTACACTTCTGACAGTTCTCTGTTGATGTGCTGTTCCAGGAGTTTGTTTTTTAATAATCTTCAGCAGTGTCTTGCTTTCATGTGATATTAATGACATTGTTGTTGTTGTTGTTATGTGCCGTCGAGTCGCTTGCGACCCATAGCGACCCTATGTACAACAGCCCTAAACTCTGCTCTGTCCTGTGCCAATCATACTGTCTCTGACACTCCCATCCCGATTATCCCAGTCACTGAATCAATCCACCTCATAGAGGGCCTTCCCCTCCTGTGCTGTCCCTCCACCCTCCCAAGCATGATGTCCTTCTTGTTCAATAATTTCCACACTCTGTTAGATCACCTTTCTTTGAAATGGGAACAAATACAGATCTCTTCCAGTTAATTGGCCAAGTGGTTGTCCTTCACATTTCTTGGCACAACTTGGTGAGCACATCTAGGGCAGCATCTGTTTGTCAAAATGTATCAATTGGTTTGCTATCAATTCCTAGGGCCTTGTATTTTGCAGTTCTTTCAGAGCAGCTTGAACTTCTTCCTTCATCACCACAGGCTCTTGCTCATATGTTGCATGAAACTCTTGTGTCCATCAATTCCTTTTGGTACAATGACTCTGTATACTTTTTCCATCTTCTTTTAATAGTTCCGAATAATTTAATATTTTGCCCAAAGCATTGTTAAGTATCACAACTCAAGGCTTGAATTTGTTCTTCAATTCCTTGAGCTTAAGAAATGCTCAGTGAGTTTGGCCCCTTTGATTTTTCTGACTCCAGCTCTTTGCACATTTCATGATAATACTTTATTTTGTCTTTCCACGCTGCCCTTTGAAATCTTCTGTTCAAGCTAGATTTCTTCCCTGTGCTTTGGCTTCTCAGCACTTTAGTGAAATATTCAGTGTATCCTCTGACATTCATTTTGGTCTTTTCTTCCTCCTTTGTCTTTGTAATGACCTTTTGCATACCCCACTTTAATCACAGGAAGACTTTATTTTCATAGCTGTGAAATAATATAGTTTAATATTTGCTCCTTAAAGTTATGTGGAAGGGGGAAAAAAGGTATGTGGAAGGCCTTATATATTAAACTTATCTTTTACTATCAAACATATATCTTGGATTTACTCATTTAAATAATAGGCTATAAACAATTAAATGTACATACTTAGGTTTATTATCTCATCCAGTGTAGATTTAAAAATTTTAATTGGATTTTTAAAACTGTTGTTATGTACATCAAGTTGGATTCATCTTAAAGCTGACCTTCCAGTGGGTTTTCAGAGGCAGTAAATTCTATGTTAGGAGATTACCTGTAACTAATTTATTAAAGCGGGGAAGAAGAATCTGTAGACACATTATATAATCACCCATAAGGCAAGAACTCTGATAGATATCATGTTGTTGTTGTTGTTATGTGCCGTCGAGTCGCCTGCAACTCATAGCGACCCTGTGTACAACAGCCCTAAACTCCGCTCTGTCCTGTGCCAATCGCACTGTCTCTGACACTCCCATCCCAATTATCCCAGTCACTGAATCAATCCACCTCATAGAGGGCCTTCCTCTCCTGCGCTGTCCTTCCCAAGCATGATGTCCCTCCCCTCCTTGCAACATGTTCAAAGTATGTCAGATGGAGCCTCAGAATCCTTGCCTCCAAGGAGCCACCCGGTTTAACCCTTTCCAGGACAAATCTGTTTGTTTTCCTAGCAGTCCGTGGTATTCTTAATACTCTTCTCCAGCACCACAGCTCAAAGGCATCAATTCTTCTATCCTCCTTGGTCATTGTCCAACTCTCTGATGCATAACAGGTGATTGCAAAGACCATGGCCTGTATCAGACGCACCTTAGTCTCCAAAGCGACACCATTGCTCTTCAGCACTTTGGAGAGTTCCCTAACAGCAGACTTTCACAATTCCCCTATGCTCCAAGGATATGACCTAGTGACAGGAACTGTGCTGCGATCCCAGAGGCACAGAGTTCAAGTCCACTAGCTGCTCTGCACAAGAAGGATTGGATATTTCCTATGTGAAAACCTATTGGAGCATCAGCTGTGAGGTGGTTCTGACTAGATAGCATACAACAACAATGAATAATGTGGGTAGGTAGGGGGCAGAATTTAAGATGGACAGAGAACTAGGTAAACTTTGTAACTTAGTCTGTTGTACATAAGTGGTGGAGAGGTGTAAAGGGTACTCGTTGATTGCATTGAGGGCAACTTGCTATAGGAATGTGGTAGATTGAAGAAGGTGAATCCAAATTGAATTTCTAGTTTTATAGGTGAAGGTAAAACATAAAGCACAATGAGCAGAGTAAAGCTGGCAGAATAGATAGAAACCAGAAGACATTATACAAACAGTTATCATTTAAATGTGGGACCTTTGAAGTATCTTAGCTAGCAAAGAAAATGACACATTTAGATTTTTGTTTAATAAATAATAAAAAATGCCAGTTTTCACATCCAGGATAAAGTTGAGAGGTGTCTTTCTTTCTTGTTTTGTTTGGCATATTGTTTTCTCTCTCTTTCCTGCTTTACTGGGGCCAGAGGACAGGGGAAGCTGGAAGTTATTTTAGAAATCCAAGAGAGAGAGAGAAGATGATGGCTTGTACTTTCTATTATAGGTGTGCTGACATGCTAATGAAAAGTCTGTCTTATACTTTTCTTAATAAAATGTCAAATAGTCCTACAAAGCGAAGACAAACACAATGAAGAGATGATGCACAGATACTTTATTCAAAGTGTAAGGCTCAAGTTCTCTTTCCATGCAGTCATTGTCTGTTGTGTGGAGAAAGCCAGGGTAATGTGCTTAGTTCCTTTGAAATCACCTCTGTGCTCACTTCACCTGTTAGGAAGTGAAAACAAAGGAAACCTGTGAGTTCACCCTGCCTACTTCCAACTTGGGTAAGTTCATTCCCAGTGATTTTGAAGGAAGTTGTTTTGTTATCCTTTTCCCTCAATGCTTTCCTATGACAGTAGCATACTTTAACTAGAGTTGAGCGTGGCATTTGCCCAGGAGGAACGTGTACACACAGGGGAGGCTGACATGTCTATGCCGGCCTTTTCTTGTCACCGCATTACCACTTGGCTTTGTCTTGTCTAGATACCTGAATGGAGTGCTGAAAAATGGAGCTGCCCCAGTGCTCCTGGAGCTGGCCAATGAGGTAATGTTGTTGTTATTATTTTATTTAAACCTGCATGAAACCTAAGGGGCCTATCTAGAGTAGATTTGCTTAGAATTGTAATTAACCTTAAAAAAAATGTATTTTGAAGTGCATTAGACATTTAAATTGCTCTCTGGTCTCTTTGTACTTTTAATAATTAGACTGAAAACTTCATGTATTAATAAATCAGTTGGCATAATTAGTCTCTTTCTTTTAAGGGAAACGTATAAACAACATCGTGGTTTCTTATTTTGTGGAAAATTTCAACCAAACAGCTCAGGGCATGCTCTTGTTCGGCTATGTAGTCTTAATTTAATGTGAGAAATACCTTTGTCATGTATAAAGACATATCTGAGAAAATACTGTTATAAACATGAGGAAAGAATATGTGTATTTAAAGATGTGACACATACTTATTTCATTTTTTTAGTTAGTAAACTTTGATTATATTGAAACCTGACTTACCTCAAGAAAGTCTTCTTTCTTGACATAAGAAAGCATAATGTTCTTATTAAGACCATGTATAAGGGGATTTATTGAACGTATCTGTTAACTCTGATTGGCTTCTGTTTGGGGAAACAAATAATGACCTTACATTTAAAAAAGAGATCCCTAAAGAGTAACAATGAATGAAGAAGCTGTGAAAAGTTCATGATTGTTGCAGAGAGCATATCAAAAAAATAAAATATTTAATTCCTAAATTTTAAAATATTTATCCACTGTAATAAGAGCAATACAATATTTAGTCTGACTTGGAACTGCTTATGCAAGCCTCATAGGGATGGGATGAAATGTACACTGTTTTTGTGTTGCATTATAATGGAAAACACAGAAGCAAGGCAGAAAATGTGTGTTTGCATTAAAGATGACTCGGTACTGTGAGCATTAAGTGTTGCAGTAGCAGCAAGTTCTGCATGTTATATTAGCAAGAAGGAATGGCTTCCCTCACAGCTTCTGTCTGCAGAACACCGCTGCAGTCAGCAAATGAGCAATTACCTATCAGTTACTAGAAGGTTTTAATGGTCTAGGCAGTGTCTATACAATCTGATAGGATAGTTAACATACAGAATGGATTTCTCTCCTCCTCCTAGCAAAACATGTATTTTGTTCTTTTTTTTTTCTCTTTCTCTCTTTTTTTACTGTTCTTGGAACAGAGCAAGATGGTTTTTAAAGGTCTCCAGACTTGTTTGTTATGACTTGCTACTGTTTGTAACTTGATAGTGCTAGACTATAACTTGGAATTCAGAGATTACCCTTCATGGAAAAAGAAGAGTAAGATGACAGCATTTCTAGATGTATCATGTAGAAAACATAGAATGTAAATATGGCTATCATTTTTATGTATGATGATACTGGTGACGTATGTTCTGTACAGTAGATGTTTATATTCATTTGAATTTTTAATGATTATTTCTGTTGGTCTTAGTTTATATTGCTGACCTCAGTTTTCATCTTAAAGTAGTATGGAAAAATATTTACCTAATCAATATATTTTTATCTGATGTCTATAAAATTTCTATGTAGCATGAATGTATCCAAAGAAAAGTGTAAGTTAGTTACAGCTGCTCCCCAAACCCTACCCCATCCCACATAATCGCAGGAAGATGGCAGCTTCTGAAAAAATTGTTAATACATTAGGGAAGTTTGCAAATGATTGGTACTAGATTATGGTTTCTCAACAACCTAGCTGCCATTTGTATATGATACTTAATACTTTAATGACATAAAGTTGCAGCTGGTGACAATTGATGTGATGGTAATACTTTATGAGTCAATATATATTTAATCAGTCAAAATTGTAAAACTTGATGAGAAATACATAACATAGGTGTACTGCAGTAGGCAGTGACTTTTTAAAACAAGAGCACTGCATTGTTGTTGATTTGGGGAGCAGGGGCTCTGTGGGGCCATCATTGATTTTAGAAATGTCTTAATACTAATTTTGCTGTTTCATGATAAAAAAATGAACATTTTAAGAAATCTCACTTTGCTAGCAAGAATAAGATCAGTCATTCTGTTCCCTTCGCACAAATATTTTCAAGTGAGATTTGAAGCACTATGAATTTTACTTACATGCTAAATTCTGACGTGAAGCATGATGGCCCTATTTCAGAGAAAGATGGACACATGATTAATATGAAAATTAGGGAGATGCAAGTACCTGAACTAATAAGGTAGTCCTTATTCAGGCTGGACTACCTTCAGTAATTTCACCATTTTTCATGTGTCAGCTCTGATGTGGGTTACTAGGAATAAGCAGCTTCGTGGAAAGCATTTCTTTCTACTTGGGGAATTTAAGGGCATCCAAGTACATACATATTTGAAAAAACTGTTCATACAAATGAAGCCAGCCTTTTTTGTCTAGTTACTAAATCAAGATAAAATTTTGGTAGGAATATGGGACTTGAAAACCTGTCAAGAAAAATTCATGGTGATTGTATATGAGGAACATTTTATTCTCTTACACCTAAGATAAAAAGACTTGTTTCAGGGAAGCATTAGTGCTCTTTGAAAAAATAAAAGAAAGGAAAATTACTTTATTTCCTAATGAAATCAAATCAATGCTTAGTGAAAGATCTGAGAACCAAAGAGAAAACAATGTTTCCAAAAGAAAAGGTGCATTTTTAATTCATCAAAAAGACTATTTGACTGAATCTTCCTTGTTTTTTGTTTGATATATTATTTAAAAAAACAAACGATTTATAAGTAACATTTCAGATAAGCCTAACAATGGTTGTCCTACATTGTAACCACTATTGTTGTATTGTATAATTAATATCTCTCCAATATAGCTATTTTTTATTAGACAAGTTAGTGTATATGTAAAGAGTTTATGTGAGAGCTTCAAGTTAAGTCTTTAAAGGTAAAATAAAATTAAGTCCATAAAACTTAGTTTTCTCCTGAGTTGGTCCTTTAATCCAATCTCTGGAAACACACTCATTAAATAACAAAAAGACAATTTACTTAGAAATTATATTCAGAAAAATGTAACTATAGACAATTGGATAGGAAGTATAACTAGAATAAAAAATAATAATAATATTGGGCTAACCAGAGAAAAAGGTTGAAGAGATCTCCCAAAGCCCATTTCCCTACAGGAGATGAATGCAATGTATCCAAGTTGTTTCTTTTTTTGCCAAAATTCAATAAAATTAACCATTTTTCCTTTTCAATAACACAGTTTATGCTGGTTATAATTTTATGTTAATGGAAGCCACCAAGAGTGGGCAAGAGTTTAATGAATGATGCTTGCTGTGGTTGATTAAAATTGACTTAATCTTCAATGTTGACACAATATTGGAGTATCTATCAGCTGCTTGCACAACTTGACAGTTTTCATTTGTACTTCTGTTTTATAAAGGTGGACTATGCACCCTCATTAATGGCTCGAATTATACTGGAGAGGTTTCTACAAGATCATGAGGAAACTCCAC